CAATTCCCCAGGTTTGATCTGCTCAAAGGAAGGTGGCCCCTTGGATGCTCATACCCGTTTCATAGATGTTTTTATTCTTCAAAGCGTTTTAAAAGCTCCTAGGTAATACTGAACTCGGAACATGGGGGGCTGAAGCTTGTTACCAAAACTTGGTCCTAGAATTACTCTCTGTCAGTGAAACTTCAGTGAGAATTTGCATATAAGAGGGGCGGATCAGTCACCTGAAGAAGTGTAACCTTGAACAGAGTCCTGTAAGTGTCTGAGGACATCTAGGGAACTCCACACCAGTCAACGGTTCAAGGGCCTCGGCTCCAGGTAGGTCATGGTAGACTGCAGGGACCTGCATTTCAAACTAGTACCCCATGTGAATGTCAACAGGCGGCCAATCACCCTGGAGCACTGGGTCCTCTCTGAGAGGTATGGCTGGCAGGTGACGGATATTAGCTAAGAAAGTTGGAACCTGTCTGAAGAAAGGAAGGGAGCAAAGGGAGGGGGTGCCCCTCATACAGTGCTGGTGAGAATGGAAAGTGGTACAGCCACTGTGGATGCCAGTTTGACAGTTCCTCAAAAATTTAAATGTAGAAATTACCATATGACCCAGCAATTCCTCTCCTAGGTATATACCCAAAGAAACTGAAAACAGTTCCTCAAATACATGTACACACATTTATAGCAGCACTATTCACAACAGCCAAAAGGTGGAAACAACCTGAATGTCCACTCATGGATGAATGCATAACCCAATGTGGCATATTCATACAATGGAATGTCATTGAGCCATAAAAAGGAATGAAGTGCTGATACATGCTACAACATGGAGAACCTTGAAAACATTATGCTAAGTCAAAGAATCCAGGCACGGAAGGTGACATATCATGACTCCATTTATATGAAATAACCAGAATAGGTTTATCCATAGAGATAGCAAACAGGGAGCTGGCCAGTGAGCTCAGTTGGTTACAGTGTGGCCTTACAACACCAAGGTCACAGGTTTGGATCCCCCTACAAGCCAGCTGCTCACCCCAAAAAGATAGCAAGCAGATTGGTGGTTGCCAGGAGCTGGGGGGAGGAGGGAATGGAAGTAACTGCTTAATGGGTATGGGTTTCCTTTTGGGGAGATGAAAATGTTTTGAAACTTGAAGAAGTGATTGCAACACTGGGGATGTACTAAATGCTAAATGTCACTGTTCATTTAAAAATGGTTAATTTTCTGTTATGTGAATTTCACCCCAATAAAATAAGAAAAAGGAGGGGGGAACAGAGGGTGCCAAGATCAAGGAATTGGCGGGATTATCCAGCGCTGCCCAGAGGAAACAGACAAAGATCTGTGGGCATGAGAACACATCTTTTAAGACAGGGAAAGGTTGTCAGGCTTCCCCACGCCTCCTGGGGAAATGTCCCTCAGACTCTCCAATCCCTTTGCTCTGACTTCATAACTCACCAGCAACCTTATGATTATTAATGTGGTCCCCCATGTATGAAGGAAATGGCTGTGACAGGCAACAGAAAGCCCACCTCCCCTCAATAAAGTACTTCACTGGTTTTGTGGAATACACACGACCTCTAATGAGCCTGCTGCCTGGGAGTAGACAGTACTACTGGTGTATCATTGTGAGAATTGCTTATTTGCTCAGCAAACATTTAAGTGCCTTCTGTATGCCAGGTACTGGTTTTAGGCTGTGGGAATTTGGCAGTGAACGTGATGCCATCATGAGGCTGACATTCTAGTGATTAAATCACACATGGGATGAGCTTAACATAGTGATGGGCACAAAGAAAGATTCAATAAATGGCAGCTATTATTGTTAGTATGAGTGATATTGTGATAATTGTTTTTTTCAAAGGCTGGCCAGCATGGGGATCTGAACCCTTGACCTTGGAGTTACAACACCATGCCCTAACCAACTGAGCTAACCAGCCAGATCAGTATTGTGATAATTTCTGAGAATTCTCAGTCCCAGCAGTGGGGACAGCTACTTCCTCCCTCAGATTAGCTGTCTGTGCCTCTTCCTGAGAAGTGGCACCTGTACCCGCTCCCACTCATTCCTTCCCTTGCCCACCAGTGAGTGTCTCCAATACTCCACAGCAAGAAATCCACCCTATAACACTACTCCAACTTTTTTTCATGACCATGTGATTTACTGAAACAATCACGGAATGCTCATAAACATATACATGTTTCTCATGAAAAATTATTTTTTAAAGTTGGAATTATAGGACTTGGTTCTTTTTTTTTTTTTTTTTAAAGATAACCAGTAAGGGGATCTCAACCCTTGACTTGGTGTTGTCAGCAACACGCCCTCCAAAGTGAGATAACTGGCCATCCCTATACAGGGATCCGAACCCATGGTCTTGGTGTTATCAGCGCCACATTCTCCCAAGTGAGCCACGGGCCGGCCCTTAGGACTTGGTTCTTGACCAAAGGCCAGTGTGAGTAAGAAACAAAGGTGGGGGCGGGTGGTGGTGGTGGATGGGGATCGTGGTCTAGCATACCCCACCTGAGCTCTACAGCCACACTTTGTTTCTGAACCAAACAGCAGTATCCACCAAGAATCACACGAGATCGTGAGCAGGGTATCCCTACTCGACACTTTTTCTCTTGACCCTGACCCTCGTTGGTCTAATTTACCACTTTGCATGTTGTGGACAATTTGTTAGTTGATTTTGTCTAAACATATGCAGAGGAGGATGAGAGAGATGTTTGGAAGGGGGACAGGCGGGGCTTCCAAGGTTCTGATGACATTCTGCTTCTCAATCCAGTTACACGGTTGTGGTCATTTGTGAACATTTGTCAGCTGTATACTCATGATCTCTATGTGTATTTTCTGTATACATATTTTACTTCAAGCAAAAATGAAAATGAAAATAGGGCAAGTGTGCTAAGATACCTGTACAAAGATGCTTTTCAAGAGCTCTTTATGATATTAAAAATTGGAAACTTCTTGCATGTGTAAAAAGGATTGGTGAGATAACTTTTAGTTGACACATAAAATAGAATATTATGCAATCATTAGGAATGTTGATAAAGATGTATGTTTATTCACGTGGAGGTATTAAGTAAACAATATAATGTGAAATAAGTTAGAAAAGAAAGTATATTCCAAAATATTAAAAGTGATCATCTCTGGGTAATATAAAAATATGCAAAATATTGCTATTAATAAAGTTAACTAATCTGAACCCCTATTTCCACAGATTCTCATTCAGGCTTCCCCTGAACCCAACCACAAACACCTCCCCAGGTTACTTTTTATGCATAGCCTGGTCCCTACTGTTTTGGGGGAGTGGGGATCTTTGAGAATCTGATGTCAGCTATGGATCCTCTCCCCTGAAAAACAAATGGACGCTCCAAATTTTGGATCCAATTTTGGGTGTGTGGTGGGGGTGGGTTCCATGACTGCAGGTAAGAGTTAAGAACCTTTAATGAAGAATCAGAGGTCAAAACTTCCTCATTTCCCTCTCGTTCCTAATTTTCGTCAGAAGACACCATTTCTTCCATCTCCCTAAAGGCGGAGAGCCTCTGCCAGGCAGCGCAGGTGTTGCCAAGGCTCCAGCACACATCCCTCTGTACTTCTGTCTAGTTACTGGTGGCATCCTGAGGGGCTCCACCAGTGGGGTGTGCAGGCAGCAGGTCTGCCAGGCGGTAGCCCCGGGCTGGCTCTGAGAACTTGCCTGGGCTGCACAGGGCTCTTCCTGTCCCCTCTGTTTGCAGGACAGCTTTCAGACTGTGGCTTCTCCCGTGCCCTCCCTGCTATGGTCCAGAGCTCGCAACCTGCCTCCTGGGCCGCACAAGTCTAGCAAAGCTGCTCCAGCATTCCGGCCCTCCCTCTTGTCAGCGTCATCAACTACAAAAGTCCTCATGTTTATCCTGCAAACATATTTCATTTATGCTGATCTGAGTACCTAGAATGAGAAGAGAATATTTCATATAGTCTAAACAGGAATGGAATCAAAGTGGTGGCTTATACGGTGTAAGGTGGGTTCCACAGTAGCATAAACTTCAGGGCCCCAAGAACATTTTATCAACAGATCTTACGAGGAGATTTCCTCTTTTTGTGTGTACCTCTAAAAGTCACAGATTGCTCAAGCAGCGGACGGTTACAAGGCTTCTGAGAGAAAAAAAGCAGTCAAGAGGCACGTCCGTTTGGGAAAAAAGGAGTCTGTGGCCTTGGCCACCAGGTGGCGTCACAGACCAGCCTGGAAGAGCAGCTCATCCCAGAAGCCACATCCCTGTAGACAGAGCTCCCGCTCTTCCTTGGCCTCCACTCCAGGGGAAGGGCCAAGCTTTTTGCCAAGAGGACTGGCACCCTGAACCTGCAACATCGCCACGGCCTACTGACCCTCCCTCCTCTGCCCTCCCCTCCTCTCTGACATTTGTCCCCAGTCCTGCCTGGAGGAGCGCCTCGTTCCTGTTCCCTGGTTGCTGCTCCTCTTGGTCCCAGAGCCGAACTGCTGGATAGGATGAACCAACGTAAGAGGAAGTAGAGCAGGATAGATTTTTCTTAGCCCTGGCATAATAAAAAGAAAGCCCAAACACTTTTCTTTTTTTTAATGTCTAAGATTAAAAAACCCCAAATCCGACAACCAACCACTGAAACAGTCCACTGGCACATCAGCGATGGGCCTGGTCTCGGGCTCCCTTTCCCGTGCTGTCCTGGACAAGCGGCGCCTCCCGGGTGGCTTTCAGGCCCGGTCCCGAGAGAGCCCAGTGGGGCTGGACACCGTCCTCGTCTCTATCCCAGCACCGGGACAACCAAGGACCCCACCTTTCAGAAAGGCCACCAGGAACTGCTTTTAAAACATGTGGTCTCACCAGGAGGAAGTTCTCCCTTGAGGCTGAGCTGAAGGTTATTTCTTGTGAAGAAACTTCATTTTATTGCCTATAAAATGAAAATGAGAACACGTCACCAGGCAGACAGAGAAGACTGAGTCCAGTCTTGCCCTTTTCAACCCAGGTGTGCTGTGGACAACTGCGGCCCCCTACTCCACCCCCCAGGAGCCTGTCCCTTGCTCTGGAAAAGTTGAGGGGGCTCACCCTTTCCAGGGTTGTCCCCTCTGGGCTCCTCAGGCACGTCCCTGCCCTAATTCAAGGGATCTTCCTCAGACTTGTGTGTGTGTGGGTGGGAAGTCTGCAAGGAAGACCCGCAGAGCTGTGTAGGAGGGAGGCTTCTGCAATGGCGATAAAGGAAGCACAGACTGTCACACACCCCTCAGCAGCACAGGGTCACGGGCCTCCTGCCGCAGCTCTTTCTGACTGGGGCCTGCTCCCTCCCTCCTCTTTTTCTGCCATCTTCTGCTTCCTCCTCCCTTTTCCACTAAGGGCCTTTTTACTGGTGAAACCGCAGTCCTCCTACTTCCTACGTTCCTGCTTCTCAGGGGAACTGGGAGGCCCTCCCTAGCTTCCTGCCAGACACTCTTCTGTGGTTCTAGTCGTGCTGCCTGGGCTCAGTTCCCCAGAGGACTGAAGAGCGGAGGAGAGAACGGTGGAGGCGGACAGAAGACAGCCTGGGGCCCTCTAAAGCGGGGCAGGGGTGGGGGTGGTTTGTTTCCACTCTGGGGACGAACAGGAGGTTAAAATGCTGTCTGCTTGAGCTCTGCACTATTTATGGCTGCTCCAGGGGAGGGAACTGGCCAAGACCCCACAACAGACTTCACAGGAACAAAGGCTGGTGATGGGGATGAGACTCCGGGGCCTTACCTAGTCCCTTCAGGAACTTATTGACACCGCTATGCTCTCCACTGGGGAGAGTTTCCAGATACTCTTGGGCTCGGACCTCAAACAGACCTGTTGAGAAGAGAAACCCCAGCCACTTTAGTTCCTTGTCTTTGCACTTCTAAACATATCCATTTCCTCAGTGCCACAGAAAAGGGAAGTCTCACTTCTGAGATGAAGCTGCTCCTGTAAACGTGCTCTGAACCATGAGGTTTATGAGGGGATTTATTACTTGTAATTGCTCAACCTTGTTTAGTAACTGTCTTTGGAAAGCTATAAAGCTCCCTCACCCATGAAACCCTATTTTTATTCAACAAACACCTTCTAATCATCTACGCTGTGCCAGGCACGTGGTTTTAAAAATGAACCAGACAGTCCTGGCTCTTGAAGAGCTCCCATTTCCTCACATTCTCCCACAAGAGGACCCAGGCCAAGTGGCCTGGTTTCCTGGGAATCCATCCATGAGCTGAGGAAGGCTGGACAGGCCCTTTTACGGGTCCTCCAGCTCTAACCCCCAGGGCCTGAGCCTCAGGCACTGGCTTCCTTTCTGACTGATCTGTGGACAGAGGATTCCTTCCTTGTTACTTTCAAGCTTTTACGTTTCCCACCTCTCTTATCAAATAGTTATCTGTAACAGATATTTAAATGTACCCAGCAGACTTCTATTTAAAAGAATCCTCTCATCAGGTGCGTCCCGCCACTCAAACTGTCTAATCAATTTCCTTTTGTCCCTGCAGATCCCCCTTATCACAATCACCTGAAATGTGGCACGCTTACATCTTTGCTTTGCAAACACCTGTGGAAACGAAGGGCTTTGGGGCCCTTAACTCAGTCTCATTGCCTTCACCGCACTGGAGTACAGAAGGCTGGGGCCAGGGGCTCACCTAGAACTTTCCCTGGTCTCTGCGCAGCCGCTCCTTGGGGGTAAATGCCTTGCCCCTAACCAGATTCGGCTCCCATCTGTAATGACCTCTACCAGCATTTCTAGGTTTTAGATTCCAAAAGGGATTAAGGTGATATAAGAAAGAAATTGGAATGATTTCTCTCACTTCCCACTCCCTAACCCTTCCTCTTCCCCAGAAGCATGATTGAACCCAGGCAGANAGTCTCACTTCTGAGATGAAGCTGCTCCTGTAAACATGCTCTGAACCATGAGGTTTATGAGGGGATTTATTACTTGTAATTGCTCAACCTTGTTTAGTAACTGTCTTTGGAAAGCTATAAAGCTCCCTCACCCATGAAACCCTATTTTTATTCAACAAACACCTTCTAATCATCTACGCTGTGCCAGGCACGTGGTTTTAAAAATGAACCAGACAGTCCCGGCTCTTGAAGAGCTCCCATTTCCTCACATTCTCCCACAAGAGGACCCAGGCCAAGTGGCCTGGTTTCCTGGGAATCCATCCATGAGCTGAGGAAGGCTGGACAGGCCCTTTTGTGGGTCCTCCAGCTCTAACCCCCAGGGCCTGAGCCTCAGGCACTGGCTTCCTTTCTGACTGATCTGTGGACAGAGGATTCCTTCCTTGTTACTTTCAAGCTTTTACGTTTCCCACCTCTCTTATCAAATAGTTATCTGTAACAGATATTTAAATGTACCCAGCAGACTTCTATTTAAAAGAATCCTCTCATCAGGTGCGTCCTGCCACTCAAACTGTCTAATCAATTTCCTTTTGTCCCTGCAGATCCCCCTTATCAGAATCACCTGAAATGTGGCACGCTTACATCTTTGCTTTGCAAACACCTGTGGAAATGAAGGGCTTTGGGGCCCTTAACTCAGTCTCATTGCCTTCACCGCACTGGAGTACAGAAGGCTGGGGCCAGGGGCTCACCTAGAACTTTCCCTGGTCTCTGCGCAGCCACTCCTTGGGGGTAAATGCCTTGCCCCTAACCAGATTCGGCTCCCATCTGTAGTGACCTCTACCAGCATTTCTAGGTTTTAGATTCCAAAAGGGATTAAGGTGATATAAGAAAGAAACTGGAATGATTTCTCTCACTTCCCACTCCCTAACCCTTCCTCTTCCCCAGAAGCATGATTGAACCCAGGCAGACAAGGACAGGGTAGGAGGGAAAGAAGAGGGAACGAGGGAGGAGAATGGGGGGGGGGTGAGATGAACTGCAAGCCCCCTAGGTCCAGGAGAGGCTGCTGCTGTCCTACCAGCCCCCCTGCGCCAGCCTGCTCTGCCCTCCCCTTCCACACTCTGTGGAGAGGGGGCAGAAAGATGGCAGAGGGGACGAAGGAGGCCCGAGGGAAACGAGAAGGGGGCAACAGAGAGAGGAAGGAAAGGATGTTCTTGAGAATTTCATTAAGTTGGAAAGAACGGACCAGAAGGAGACCTTGCTGCAGACACTGAAATGTGGTTGTGGGAGAGGCCAGCAGGGCGAGGCCTGGTCTCACCAGCTCAGAAGTGGCACGGATGTGTGCTCTGCAGAGGAGGCTGGAGTACTGCTCCCTTGTGTCTGTGCCCTTGCCCCTGAGCCGCCTGGAGTCTGGGCAACTCTAGCTTACTTGGCCCCAACACAGACGGTGCCCCTAACCTTTCACATCCTGCCGGCGCAACTCCCGCTCCTGGATGAAACCCCGAAACGTCTGGGTCTCCATGAAGACCTCCAGGAAGCGGCGCAGGCTCTTGGAGGAGACAGCTTTGCGGAAGGCCTCTCGCTGCAGGGTCCTCTCCTCACGCTCGCCTGACGTCAGGAACAAGGAGTAGTGGCCCACAATCTCCACGAAGAAGCGGACAAAGGCTTCAGACACCACCTCGTTCAAGGGGCTGGACTCGGGGCCTGAGCAAGGGGGGAACGGCCAGGAACAGTGAGGGCAGATGGGCTGGGCCAGAGCCTTTGGGAAAAGCCCACTAGTAATCAAAGTAACTGCTAGTTCCCTTGACGAACTGTGATTATCAGGGAAAAGGTTACCCTAAGTGATTAAGTCATTTCTTTCCCTCCTTTCAATAGATATTTTAGGGCCGGATGGGGGAGGTGGGACAATTTTCCCCACAATTCACTGTTAGAATAAATCTAGATAAAGAGGTTGAGCTCTCACGTTCTCTCTTTATACCCTCTTGCCCATTTTCCTACCTAGCCCAGTGCGAGAGGAACGGCTGGCCTCTGGCCACCTGCTCCCTGACGTAGCGCTGGGAGAGGGAGATGCAGTCAGGGAGGTGGTTGAGCATTTACCGTGCTTGCAGTCTGGGGGCCCTTCATCCTGGTCACAAGCCAGGTCATTCCTTTGTTCCAGAATGTGTTCGAGGGCTACCTGAAGCTTCCGGGGCAGAATGGAATCCTCGTCATCCATCTGTGAAGCAGAAGTGGCAGGTGGGCCGTTGCCCCAGTGCTTGGCTCAGTTCCCAGTCTTGTGGAAGGAACACAACTTAGAGCCAGAGGTCTCAGGTTTAAAACTTGATTCTACTTTTTATAAGCTGTGTATGCCTCAGTTTCCCCATTTGCTAAACGGGCTACCAATCAATATCTACCTCATCATGAAGATTAAATGCAATAGAATTTCTTTCTTTCTTTCTTTCTTTTTTTTTTTTTTAAGATGACCGGTAAGGGGATCTTAACCCTTGACTTGGTGTTGTCAGCACCACGCTCACCCAGTGAGCCAACTGGCCATCCCTATATAGGATCTGAACCTGGGGCCTTGGTGTTCTCAGCACCACACTCTCCCGAGTGAGCCACAGGCCAGCCCTTGCAATAGAATTTCTTTTGAAAGCACTTAGCACTTAGTGGATACTCAACAGATGTTTTCTGCTGCTCTCGTCCTGTACAGTAGCTTGTGCTCCTTGGGGGACTCTAGCCAGGGCAGATGACCAGTGAGATCCAAAGCTGGCTTTATGATCTGGGCCTCAGAGCAGGAAGGCCCTGGGGAAAGGCCTACCCTGAGGGCCTCTGGGAAATGCAAGTCATGGTAAAACAACATTAACCCTAGTGAACTTCTCAGCAGTGTGGCAAGTGCAAGTTTAGAAGCAATCCATCAGAATGCCAGAAAACCTTTCTGTAATTACTCTCTGCAAGATCTGATAGGAGTCAGGCTTCTCTGGCAAATGATAAAAGGAAAGTAAACATACATTACTTTCTCTGATAGTGAAAGTACGTAATTTATGATCATTAAGGAAAATACATGAAAGTATCAAAATATTTTAAAATCACTCATAATCTGTCTCCCTTTAAGTCTCCCTCCTCAAGACACCAGCATCAGTGTTTTGATGAGTTTTTCTTCTAATCTTTTTAAGATGCATATACAAGAGTACTTCAAAAAGTTCTTGGAAAAATAGAACTAAAGATAATACGAATATTTCCACAAACTTTTTGAAGTATCCTTGCGTGTGTGTGTGTATATACACACACACATAGTTGTCCCTGGATATCTGTGTGGGATTGGTTCCAGGACCGCCTCCCCGATATGAAAATCTGAGTATTTGTATCAAGTCCCTGATACAAAATGATGTAGTGTTTGCATATAACCTATGTACATCCTCTCATATACTTAAATCATCTTTGATTACTTACAATACCTAATACAATGTAAATGCTATGTTAATAGTTGTAATACTGTGTTTAGGAAATAATGACAAGGAAAAAACTCTGTACATGTTCAGTACAGAACCAATTTTTATTTTTCAATTTTTTTTTTTTTTTTTAAAGGTGACCAGTAAGGGGATCTTAACCCTTGACTTGGTGTTATCAGCACCACACTCTACCAAGTGAGCCACAGGCTGGCCCTATTTTTCAAGTATTTTTGATACACAGTTGAATTCATGGAGAAACCATGGATATGGACTGCTGACTGTTTTCTTTTTTTTTTTTTGTCTTTTGTCTTTTTCCGTGTCCGGCAACGGATCGCAACCCTCAGTGTTGCCCCCGTACCGGACCGGGGACCGGCAACGGGATCGCAACCCTCGGTGTTGCTCCCGCGCCTCGCTCAGCCAGTGAGCGGGAACTGGTCTGTATGCAG